CACACACACACACTACCTCCCCTGCCCCATACTCCTAGAGAACTCCGCCTTCTATCCCTTACCCTCCACCCTTCCCTCCACTCCCTTTGTACTACTAACAAATACATACGAATGAGCATTATGCGAGGGCCGCGAGGCCAAGGGCCCGATGAGCCCTTTTTTGGCCCTGTCATGCAATACGTCGGCCGCCGTAAGTGAAGGCAGGCTCGACGAGGGCCTGAGGGCCTCTATTTCGGACACCATGCAACTGAGGAAAATTCAGGAAAGTTGCGCAGCGCCAGTTGGTTGAGAGCGCCCAGGCCGCCTGTTTGCATGTATGGAAGGTAGGCCCTGGGCTGGATACGGGATATAGGGCCGAGGGCAGTTGGGCACAAGTAACCACCACAGGCCCTGGGCCTGATTCGTTTGGACTGGGCCTCAGCCTACCTGGGCCTACCGGAAGCTTCTGGAGGGGGGCCCAGTACCGCAGCACAGCACGCAGCTGCAGGTCACTTCGATATAGGGAAGGGCCTGCCTAGCATTGGACATTCGGGCACTGGCTGGTTTGTGCGCAAGCGCTGCTGCGCTATCACCTGCCAGGCTCATGCGCTCACGGGCGAGCTGGAAGGAGCAGGCAGCCATAGCCGAGCTGCGCTGCTGTATGCTGGACGGGGCGCATGGTGGTCCTTGGGTGCAAGTGGCATTTGTGAGTTGGGGAACGAGGTTGTGAGTGATATGAGAGACATACCTGGTGCTTGAAGCGTGCGGCATTGGCCGAGATCTGCTCGTACTTCGGGGAGCTGTTGACGTCATCAGCGGCATTGTAGAGTAGGCTAGATAGGATCTGCCATCTGTAGTCTGGGCACCGAGCGCCAGATAGGATATCAACATTGGATCTTCGTTGATGATGATGATGAGACTATTCCGGCATTGTCAATTATGAGCTTTTGGTGTACTCTTATTTGGTGAAACTCGTGATGCAATTCACGACTATCTGGTCTCATGTGTATGATGCTGTTTGATTGCTGAAGTTCGCTATTGCTCATCTTCCTTGCAATTATTAAGAGAATAGACGATATGAAGATCAGAAATGAAATGAACGGAAGTATGAAGATCAAGGACTGACACAAAGACTGTATAAGCTGAAGATCTGAAGTGAAATGAACAGGAGTATGAAGCTGTGAAGAGATGCACAGGAGCATACCTTCCCTTGTACTCTGCCTCCTGAAATAGCGTGCAAGTGGGCCGTGAAGGCACATGGGGATGTGGGCAGCTGCCGCTCAACCACAATCAACGTGGGCAGCCTTGTGCGTAAGAGACACAGTAAAAGGGGAGCTGGAAGAACAATGAAAGGGGTACCCCAAGGACAACCAAAAAACTGTCTAATTATAAAATTGCTTTAATATGTTGGACATCTCAAATGCTCTCGTTGTCTGCAATAGGACAAAGACTGCTTTGTGTGTGTGTGCGTGTGTGTAAAACGATCTCGACATGCGCCCACTCAGAACTCAGAGATATGGTACCGAGAACACATTTCAGATTCAAGTTCACTTCGGATGGCTGTGTGTGTGTGTGTGTGTGTGTGTGTGTGTGATGTGTGATGTGTGATGTGTGTGTGTGTGTGTGTGTGTGTGTGTGTGTGTGTGTGTGTGTGTGTGTGTGTGTGCGCGGCAACTGCGACCCTCCCCGCGAGCCGCGCAGCTCCCGCGCAGCGGCAACTGCGACCCTCCCCGCGGGAGCTGCACGGCTCGCGGGGAGGGTCCCAGTTGTGCGCGCGCGCGAGAGAGAGAGAGAGAGAGAGAGAGAGAGAGAGAGAGAGAGAGAGAGAGAA